GATATTGGGCCGACGGAAAATGTTTTCGGTGAGAGATTGATTATTGTGATTTGATGCATTTTGATGTTTATGTGTGACTTAGTTGTTATTCGTGATTAAAGTATTTGTACGTGTGAATAATCTACTTGATACTTGAGATTGACGTACTTGATTTGTGCTAGTTGTTGGATTGCGACTATAGCCCTGTGAGGTGTGCGTTGTAGAACTGTTAGGTTGGACTGATTTCTGTACATATTGTAGTTTGAGGAGGTTCGGTTGGAGTCTCGGGGGTATTCAATTTCTAGCTAGATGCCTTGTCTATCAGGTTGCTTGTTGGGTACCGTGTTGTTGATACTCACTCATTGCTTCTACACTTGTGTAGGTTCCGAGCCTGGTATAGCGTGATTTCTCTTCTTCTCACTTTCTGAGGCTTGTTGAAGGACTTGAGAGGTAGTTGTTTGTCGTCCCGGGCGGGATCTCTTTTGCCTTTTCTTTATCTTTGTTCTATTTAAGAAACAATGACTAAGTTTTGTACTTATTTCCTAATTCTACACTTCATGTATTTAGGTACCGTTTGGTAGGAGGTATTGATCAATAGTCCATGGATTAAAATTTAGTCCAACAAAAACATTGTTTGGTTACTTCATTTAACCTAACCATATATTAGTTATACCTCATACAAAGTCTTATTTTATCCCTAGAAAAGGGAGCTATAACTAATCCAAGGTTTAACAATCCTTGGATAAGACGCCTAAATGACTAAACTATCCCAAATCTTTTTTCTTTAAATTTCTTTTGTTATTTAATGTTCTTTTTTATTTATATTAGAAAAGTTATAAATATTATTTTAAATTCTCCAAATTTGTTCAATATAATTTAATGATTTCACAAACTAATATTTTTTTTCTCCATATTTGATTTGCTATATTGGGTTGACTTTTTTCTTTTTAAAAAAAAATGTATTTTGTTGATTGACCACTTGAACAAATTTTTTTATTTTTAAAAAATAAGCTTCGTGTATTTGAACAATTTATGTAGCCTTAAATCTATGTTGATTTAAGGTATATCTGATCAACAAAAAATTAGAAATATATTGTGCTATCAAGGATCTGTGTAGTGGCACATCACACCTCAAAATTAATAATAAATTTTTTAATATATTTTAGTATTTAACTTGACTAGTTAAATGAAATAGAAAATATCATAATAACTCAACGGAATAATAGGAAAGAAGTTTTTTCTAGAGTTTTAAACCAAACATAAGATAAGTGGGAAGCAATGAACCAAACACTTGATAAAAATTAATCCCTGCATTACTAATCCATGTGTTAGTAATCCTTGCATTATGCATCTTTGTACCAAACGATCCCTTAATGGCTTGTACCCGTGACAACCAGTTTTTGGGGGTTTCAATAGAATGAATAAGTTTTCTGCTTTATCTTGTTCTTGCTTTATATTTTCGCATTTCTTTCATTTTCGTTGGGTTGAGGCTGACTTGTCATGGTAGAAATAGACAAGTGTCATCACGTTTATTTTTGAATCACGACAATTATGATAAGTAGTTCGAAAGTAGTAAAAATTGTGGACTCTATGCTCATTAACTACATCAATTGGGGTATATAATTCGTACATTTTCATATAGATGGATTTGCCATCATCAATTAGGAATCATATTCGGTATAATTTTGTAACCGGACTTTTATATGATCAATCAATCTATATATTTTTAGATCGGTTATTAATATTTGATCACTGTTGAAATGTAACTGAGAAATATCCATTTTTAAAATGGACAATAATATTTGGATAAAAATATTCCTAGCTAAAATACAAGAGACAAAATACAAAGTTACTCTTGAAATTCCTATATTTCAAGTCGTGTGGGTATAATAGAAATTTCTAAAAGCTTTCATGTTTTAGTCTAGGAGTAGGATTGTCCAAATAATGTGTTTTTATTATGCAAAATGACAAACATCTAGATTATATTATGTAATATAGCTATAGTTTCGATTATTTTTAATTTGTGACTACAGTTTAGCGAAATTTTGCTATTCAGTTTTCTAATTTTATAAATTTAGAATTTGTATAATTCGGTCCCTGATTGTATAAATCCTGAATTTATATAATTCGGTTTCTGATTGTGTAAATTCAGAATTTGTATATGTTTACCCTAGCTATTTGTATACAATTTATGGAAAATTCATAATAAATTACCATGATTGTATATTGGCAAGCGAAATATACAAATGGAGTTCTAAAAAATTCCTAAATATAAAATTTGTGTATACTTACCATGTTTGTATTTTTACAAGCGAAATATACAAACCGCAACTTTCATTTGTATATACTTACCATGTTTGTATATCCACAAGTAAAATATACAAACTGCAATCTCCATAGCAAAAGGAACTATGCTATGGAGCACAATTACCGAAACTATGGCTATAGAGCCTTATTAGATCTATTATCTTTGCTATTTATGAAATTTTCTCTTTCATTAATCATAGATCATGAAATAAAACAAGCATGATAAGCGTACTCACCAAATGACATATAACCTATGTTTAAGAAGAAATTGGTACTCGGTATACAATACCCACGTTTAGGCTATAAAATTTGTATCTCATAAACCAAAAATATTCCTTTAAAATAGATTTAAATTTTATAATTTTCTCTCTCTCTTATGAATTTATTCAAATACTTCTCCTAAATTTCTCAAATCTTCTTCCAAATCTCTCTCCAATTATGCATACTTTGGCCACAAATTGTGTTCAATACGATAATCAAATATATTATGGAATCTAACACAAAAGTTGACCGATTTTTTCATAAGAAAACCCAATAGCCTGCAAGAATTTAACTTTTTCTATGCATATATATTCATCAAACATTTTAGATACTTTCTCATATTGTAAATTTGATATACCTATTGAAGGCTTTACAGTGTTTCAATTTACTTAATATGTCATGTTGTAAAACATCATGTATACATTCTCGTACATATTCTTTCATTTATATTGTGAAGTAGCATATATACCATTTTGATATATTGTAAAGTATCATATATATATATATATATTGCAAATTGATAAATACAAATCTTAGGAGTTACAAATTAACATATATCCAATTATACATAGTATGCAGTTAAAAATATATATATTGTGAAGGATTAGACAAACTTTCGGATATACATGTATAGTGAAGAATCTCCTTGTATCCACAACAATATTGGCCCAGCTTCAAACCCTAGGCTAGGGGTAGGGATGTACATGACCGGGTTGGTTCGGGTTTCTCGAATATCAAACCAAATCATTTGTGTAAAAAAATTAAATTTATAAATCAAACCAAACTAATAAAATTCGGATTTTTTCGGGTTTTTCAACCTCGGGTTGGTTCGGGTTTTTCAAATACCAAACCAAACCATTGTGTCGAATTTTTTAATTTATAAATCAAACCAAACTAAAAAACCTCGGATTTTTCAGATTTTTGGATTTTTTCGGTAAAAGTTTGCATACAAACATATAATTAACTTGTGCTCCAAATATTTCTTTAGTCCAACCAAAATGCAATTATCTAAGGTGTTTCTTAAAAAAAAAAAAACACAAAATATGAGATGAGTATTGATGACACAAAAATATTCAATAAAAAATAATAATGAAACATCATATAAAATAAATATTGCAAAGTCATAATGAAAATGATCATAATTTAAAACTACTAAATCATGCTAAAATAAATTTAATAAGTATTAGTTACATTACTAAATATTTAAGAAAAATTAAAATTAGATTATGTATTTTAATTTTATGAAAAAGTATAAGAAATATTTAAAAATTATATCAAAGTAAATATTTTTATGTATAAAATAAAATTTAAAATTACATATATAATGTCGGGTTGGTTTGGTCTTGGGTTGGTTTTTTATAGTTAAAACCAAACCAACCCAAATATAGTCGGGTTTTTTTTCCAATACCAAACCACTAGTCGGGTTCTTTTTTTATTTGACTCGATTTGCGGTTTGGTTCAGTTTTCGGTTCGGTTTTGTACACCCCTAGCTAGGGGTGACAATTGGGTGGGTTGGATAAAATTTGGACGAGTCATAATAGGTTAAGACAACAATTGGGTCAAGACCAAATCTAAATTTTAGGTTTGGCAAACATAAAAATCATATTTGTATGCTATAGCTACAGTTTGTATAATTACGCTCCATAGGAAATTTTATGTTTGCTATGGAGCATCAGATTTGTATAAATCACAGGTAGGCATTCGTTTGTATAAAAGCACAACGATTGTATATGTATATCTGTTAGATAATTGTATATATGTAACTACTATGTATATGTATCAATAATTGTGTTTGTATATCTGCATAAAATTTGAATTTGTATACAATTGAATCAAAATAAAACATTTGTATATCAAATCTCTCTCTCGCTCGCTTTATACAACACAAATTTATACATTGTAATTTGTATTAATTTGTGTTTGTATAAAGCGAGAAAGAGAGAAAGACAAAAGAGAACTGGTAGGAGAAAATTTGTATTTGTATAATTATAAGTGTATGTATTTGTATTAGTATATACAGTTTTCTCTCATTTTATACAAACACAAACGCAATTTATACATTTGTGCTTGTATAAAAGTGAGAGAGGCGAGGGAGAGTGGCGAGAGAGATCAGGGAGAGTGGCGAGCGAGATTTCTGGGGAGAGAGGGGAATGGCAAAGTGTTTGCTACGGGTTAGAATTAAATGAAACTGTGGTTCTAGCATTTAATTTGAATTAATAGTTTGTTATTTTATACAATTTCCCCTTTAGGTAATAGATTACATTATGGGTCAAGACCCAACGAAACCCAATTTTTAATAAACTTAATTGTTTTATTTATTCATTTAAATTGTACCTAATAAAATTATTTTTTTCTTTATTATGGCTATATGCAGCATATCAAATTGAAAAATAAGTTTTTTAAAAATATTTCAACAAGATTTTTCATGAGTCAATTCGGAGTACATATCAATCAAATTTTTAATGGGTTAAAATGGGTTAAGCTAATGAATAGGCGGGTCAATAACCCGCCCAAACATAAGCAATCATGCATACAGACATAGTTGTAATATAACTAGCCTTCCATTACATTATACACAAACTTGCCTCCAATTAAAAATACATATATATAATTAAAAGCAAGAAAATCCTCACACAAAAAGTTTTGAGAAATAAATAGCAATTTTGACAGGCACAACTAGAAGCAGCAGCAGCAGCACTCTTCCAAAATACAGCAACAACAAAGAGCGGCCAAACTGCAACAACCAATCAAATTTTGTTGCTATTCCAGTGATAAAAGATTGTAATTAAAGATTGTGATAATAGTATTTAAAAACAGATATTGAATATTCATTATGCATTCATTGAATTTTTGGTAATAGATTTATAATTAAAAATTGTCTGTAATTGATTCAGAAGAAATGAAATAAAAAAAATAATAGAGCTAGAAAAATTATTGTATGAGGTCTCTATTAGGCCATGTAAATTGTTTTTATGTGATTGTCATATTATTATATATCTTTCTTGTCCCAAACCATTGGTTTTCATTATGCAAGTGGTGATCATCGGGTATTTGATGAAAAAAGTAGTGTAATTTTTACTCGTCCAGCGTGTTGAGTGTTTTATTTTAGCAGAATAAAATAATTGGTTTTTTGGATGGATCTATTTTTTAGGAATATTTTATTATTACTGATTTTAGGAGTTCATTAGTTGTGGGTTAGTTTGTTGCTTATTTTTAGGAATTAGTTCTATATGTAATCTCTATTTATTTGGAGAGACTTCCATCAATAATATTCAATTAAGTTTCTGATGTTGTTGTTTACTCAATTTCAATAGTGGTATCAGCGTTAGACTTAGAGTGACCTGTGAGTAAAAGAAGCTGCAACTTACTTGGTATCTTGTAGCAACTAGCAACAAGTGCTCATGGCATCTAAAAGTAAAAAAATCATCTAATCTGCTATTTCCCGCTTTGATGGTCACTATGATCATTGGAGCATGCTGATGGAAAACTTCTTGCGTTCAAAGGAGTTTTGGAGCATTATAGAGATTGGTTTCAATGAACTTTCAAGCTCTTTACTATTACATGAGCAGAGTATGACACCTTCTCCTACAGAATAACAAGCTTCGAAAGTGGAAAATCAATATGATTCTTCTAACATGGATGGTTTTGGAAGAGGTCATGGTAGAGGCAGATGACATGGGCGAAACATGACTTCAAATTGTAGAGGAAATGCACGTGATAATGATCAACACTATGCTTATGATGTGACATTTGATAAATCACAAATAGAGTGTTTGTGTTGTCACATGTATGCCCACTATCAGTTTGAATACAAAACTATTTTGCATTCATACAAGGGAGATAGAGAGAAATCGAATATCACGGAACAAGATGAAGAAAAAGAAGAAACTTTGTTGATGGCTTGCCTTGCGCAAGAACAATCTCATTCAAATAAGTGGTATCTGGACTTAAGTTACAGTAATCATATGTGCGGTAACAAATCTTTGTTTTTGAATTTGGATGAATCTTTTAAAGATAATGTCAAGCTTAATTAGAAATAATTCTTGTATATTTTTGTTATGGGACAAAGCACTATTAGATTGCAGGTGAAGGGACATTTCTTCAAAGTTGATGGAACTTTTTATGTTCCTGAATTAAAGAACAATCTTTTTAGTATAGGGCAGCTACTAGAAAGAAACTAGAAAATTGTTATAAAAAAGGATTATTGCACCGTACAACATCAACAAAAGGGAACAATTTTTGAAGTCAAAATGACAGTCAATTGGTTGTTTCCTTTACACAATAATGACCAAACATGCTCGATAACAAAAATGATGGACTCTACATGATTATGGCATATGTGTTATGGACACTTCAATTTCAATGGTGTGAGAACCCTACAACAAAGGAACATGGTTGGTGGTCTTCCCCAATTCGATGTTACTATCAAAGTTTGTCAAAATTGTGTTGTTGGTAAACAACATCGTGAATCCTTTCCGGTAGAAAAGGCATGGATGCCTAAGAAATTGTTGCAATTGATTCACTCATACCTTTGTGGTCCAATCAATCCAGCTTCGAAAACAAATGAAAGGTATTTTATATCTTTTACTGATGACGATAGCATAAAGACGTGGGTTCAATTTTTGCAACAAAAGAAAGGTTTTTTTAGCGCATTCAAGGTCTTTGCTGAAAAGGAATCGAGGAAGATAATCAAAGTTCTTCGAACTGATCGTGGTGGTGAGTTCAAATTCAATGAATTCACAAGCTTTAGCGCTATGAAGGGAATTCGAAGGCAATTGACAACAACTTATACACCACAAAATGGTGTATCTGAGAGGAAGAATCGTATCATTTTGAACATGGTAAGATGCATGTTGGCAGGCTGTAAAATAAATTCTACGGTATATTCATAATACTGTAGATGTTGGCTTGGTTTTCAAGCATAAAAATAGTCAATTTCTTGTTGGATATTGTTACTCAGATTATGCAGGTGATTTGGACAAATGAAGATCAACTACTGGTTATGTTTTCACTATTGCAAACGCACCAGTTAGTTGAAAGTCTACTTTGCAGTCAACAGTTACTTTGTCTACCACCGAGGCAGAGTATATGGCAATTACAGAGGCTGCTAAGGAGGTAATTTGGCTTTAAAAATTGCTTAAAGAGCTTGGTATTGGACAAGAAGGAATCACAATATTTTGTGATAGTCAAAGTGTTATTCAATTAGCGAAGGATCAAGTTTATCATGCAAGGGCGAAGCATATTGACGTCTGATATCATTTCATACGAGACATCATAGAAGAAGGTGGAGTCATAGTGAATAAAATTCATACTACGGATAATCATGCCGCTATGCTGACAAAAGTGGTGACTGCGGTCAAGTTTCAACATTTTTTGAACTTGATCAACATTGTTGAACATTGAAGATTGAGGTTGAAGACACAAACAAAAACTGTAGTTGAGAGAAAGTTGAAAATGGAGAATCTTGCCAAGGTGGAGATTTGTTAAATTTGACAAGATTCAAAGATGAATTAATGTGAAAATTTGGTGGTTAGGAAGATAATTCTTCATTGGTACAAAAGTCATGATAGCAACTTTGTAGGTGAAACTTAGGTAAACCATAAAATGGTTTCACAAGTTAAACCTTGATATTTTGACACATTGTGATGTCATGGATGACATCTATAGGAAGAATTCACTCATATAAATAGGTAGCTCCTAATTCATTTGTAACACACCTTTCACTTGCCTTCTCATCTTCAAAGGCATTTGTTTTTCTTTCTCTCTTGTAGTATTTCACTTGTACTCTTTTGGAGTGAAATAAATATTGGTTGTTGCGGCAGCCGAATATATAAAGAGCGATGAAATTACAAATGCTATATCTAAGGGTAGCTAATAAATAGTAAATAAGACAACAATAAAAAGAACACCAGAAATTTATGAGGTTTGGCAAAATTTTGTTTTCTTTTGCCTACTCCTCGAACACAACCAACCAATATTTATTTCACTCCAAAAGAGTACAAGTGAAATACTACAAGAGAGAAAGAAGAACAAATGCCTTTAAAGATGAGAAGGCAAGTGAGAGGTGGTTTACAAATGAATTAGGAGCTATCTATTTATAGAAGTGAATTCTTCTTATAGATGTCATCCATGACATCACAATGTGTCAAAATGTCAAGATTTAACTTGTGAAACCATTTTATAGTTTATCTAAATTTCACCTACAAAGTTGCTATCTTGACTTTTGTACCAATGAAGAATTATCTTCATAACCACTAAATCTTCACATTAATTCATCTTGAATCTTGTCAAATTAAACAAATCTCCACCTTGGCAAGATTCTCCATTTTCAACTTTCTCTCAACTACAATTTTTTATTGTGCATTCAACCTCAATCTTCAATGTTCAACAATGTTGATCAAGTTCAAACAATGTTGAAACTTGACCGCAGTCACCACTTTTGTCAGCATATCGGCAGGATTATCCGTAGTATGAACTTTTTTCACTATGACTCCACATTCTTCTATGATGTCTTGTATGAAATGATATCGAGCATCAATATGCTTCGTCCTTGCATGATAAACTTGGTTCTTCGCTAATAGAATAGCACTTTGACTATCACAAAATATTGTGATTCCTTCTCTTACAATACCAAGCTCTTTAAGCAATCCTTAAAGCCAAATTGTCTCCTTAGCAGCCTCTGCAATTGCCATATACTCTATCTCAGTGGTAGACAAAGCAATTGTTGACTGCAAAGTAGACTTCCAACTAACTGGTGTGTTTGCAATAGTGAAAACATAACCAGTAGTTGATCTTCATTTGTCCAAATCACCTGCATAATCTGAGTCACAATGTCTAACAAGATATTGACTATCTTTATGCTAAAAAACCAAACCAACATCTAAAGTATTATGAATATACCGTAGAATCAATTTTATAGCCTGCCAATGATCCTTTCCAGGATTATGCATGTACCTGCTTACAACTCCAACAACATGTGAAATATTTGGCCTTGTGCAAACCATTGCATACATCAAGCTATCAACAACATTCGTGTATGGTACTCTCGACATATATTCTCGTTCAGCTTCATTCTTTGATGACATAGCATCACTAAGTTTAAAATGAAGAGCAAGTGGAGTGCTAACCGATTTCGTTTTCTCATTCATACTGAATCGATTTAGTACCCTCTTCAAGTATTCTTTCTGAGATAAATAGAGTTTCTTTGAATGTCTATCTCTTTTTATCTCCATGCCAAGAATCTTCTTTGCCTCACCCAAATCCTTCATGTCAAACTCTTTTCTTAGTTGAATCTAGCTTCTTAATTTCTTATTTACTTTTAGAAGCTATCAACATATCATCAACATATAGGAGAATATATATAAAGGAATCGTCTTCAAGCTTGCGCAAATACACACAATGATCGTATTTGCTTCTTATGTACCTTTGCTGCAACATAAACTTGTCAAATCGTTTGTACTATTGTCTAAAAGATTGTTTCAATCCATACAACGATTTTTCAAGTTTTCACACCATATTTTTTTCCATCAACTTTGAATCCTTCTGGCTGAGTCATGTAGATTTCTTCTTCCAAGTCTCCATGTAAAAAATGCAGTTTTTACATCCAACTGAACTAGTTTCAAATTCAACTGTGCTACCAAAGCCAACAAAACTCTAATGGAGGAGTGTTTCACAACTGGAGAAAATACCTTATTATAATAAATTCCCTTTTTTTGAGTGTATCCTTTGGTCACCAATCTTGATTTGTAGCGAACATCTTCTTGGTTAGGAAATCCTTCTTTCTTTGCAAATACCCATTTGCACCCAATTACTTTCTCGCCCTTCGAGAGATTGGCCAATTTCCATGTATGATTCTGATAAAGGGATTGCATTTCTTTATCCATGGAAATCCTCCACTTATCTTCATCTTAACTTTGGACTGCATCTTTATAGTGGTAGGAATGTCATCGGCTACAATTGAGTCTGCACAAGCCACCATATCTATGAGTCGAGCAGGTTTTGTTATTGTCCTTTTTGGCTTGCTGGTTGCTATTGATTCAAGTTGTGGTTGAGGTTCTTGAGATTGAACCTCTCATTCGATTGGCTCTTCTTCCAGAGGAAAATCTTCTGTTGTTTCCTCGTTTGATCCAGTTTTGGAAAAAATATTTTTCCTTCAAACTCCACCTACTTTGAAGCACCATTAGTTTGTTTGACATCTTCAACTGTTACCTTATTTGTCAAGGCAGATTCATCAAAGGTAACATCCCTATTGAAAATATTATTTTTCTCGTCTCTGGACACCATAAATGATATCCCGTGACTCCAGAAGTAATTTCCATAAATAAAGCGTTGTTTGCTCTTGGATCCAATTTTAACTCTCTTACGTGATAATATGCAATTGAGCCAAATACATATAAAGAACCATAATCTTCAACAAGTTTTCCATACCATTTTTCTAATGGTGTCTTCCCACCTATAGCAGCAGATGGTAGACGATTAATGAGGTGGCATGCATATGTTATTGCCTCAACCCAAAATTCTTTGCCCAAGTCAGCATTGGACAACATGCACCGCACCTTCTCCAGCAAAGTCCGGTTCGTGCGTTCTGTCACCCCATTCTTTTGTGGTGTATATCTGACGGTGAAATGTCTGATGATGCCATTGTTTTCACAAATTTTCTGAAAAAGATCATTTTTGTATTCTCCATCATTGTCTGTGCGAAGACACTTAATCTTTCTACCAATTTGAGTCTCTATCATCGCCTTCCATTTGAGAAAAATTCCCAACACTTCATCTTTAGTTTTCATCTTATGCGCCAATACTCTTCCGAAAAAGTCATCAACAAAGGTTACAAAATAGTGTTTCCCACCTAATGAAGGTGTTTTGGATGCACCCCAAACAACTGAATGAACATACTCCAAAATATCTTTAGTATTATGGATAGTTGTTCTAAATTTAACCCTTGTTCCCTTAACACAATGCTCACAAAACTCCAAGTTGCAAGTTTTACTCCTTTTAGCAATCCTTGATCTAAGAAAGTTTTCAAGGATTTTCCTCCAGCATATCCGAAGCGCATATGTCACAGCCTGGTCATTTATGCCTCCTTATCGTCATTGAATGTTGTTGACCCTGTCCCAATAAACGTACTACCTTGATAGTGGTACATGTTATTATTTCTTTGAATTACCTTCATTACCACCAGTGCACCGGAGCATATTCTCATTACGCCATTATCTACAATGACTTTGAATCCCTTTGACTCTAGGGATCCTAAAGAAATGATATTTTCTTCAAATCTGGTACATATTGAACATCTGTTAATGTTCTAGTTAATCCATCATGATTCCTTAATCGAATTGAACCAACACCATATGCGGTAAGAGGATTATTGTTTGTAGTGTGAATAACTCTACATTCTCCTTCTTGTAAATCAACAAACCAATCCCGATTGTGACACATATGATAGCTACAAACTGAGTCCATCAATCATACATCACATGATTTAGATGACTCTATTGTAACTAATGAGTAATCAGAGTCATCACAATCAGCCACAACCATTTCCATGACAGCCTTCCCATTATTTGGTTTGGCCTTGCTTTTCAACTTTGAGCAATCTTTCTTCCAATGCCTTTTTTCTCGGCAAAAGGAACATTCATCTTTGCTGAGTCTGGATCTTGACTTGGATCTACCTTTCTTCAATCTCATATGATTTTAAGAACGACCTCTCACAATAAGTGCTTCTGCTTCTCCGCCTTTTTGTTTTTCTCTATTTCTTTGTTCATAACTATATAAGGCAGAACAAACTTCTTTCAGAGATACTTCATCATTCCCATGCAGTAGAGTAGTTTCAAGATGCTCGAACTCATCGGGAAGTGAACTTAACAACATTAAGGTCATATCTCCATCCGTAAAAGTCACGTCTATATTTCGCAAATTTATCTCCAACTTATTAAAGCTGGTGATATGATCATTCATTGTGCTACCAGGAATATAAGTGAAGTGTAACAGTCTTCTTTTCATGTAAAGTTTATTTTGACTGTGTTTTCTTCAAGAATTTCTCCTCCAATAAATTCCATAATTATTTGCAGATGTTTCCTTTGTGTATGGATACTTTTGTTCTCTTGCAAGGTACGATCGAATGGTACCACAAGTAACACGGTTGATAATTTTCCAATCTTCTTCTCCTACACCGTATGGTTTCTTTTCTTCTATGGAAATATCTAGCCCTTGTTGAAAAAGAACATCAAGGACCTCGTCTTGCCACATTCCAAAATGTCCTGACCCGTCAAAAATTTCAACTGCAAATTTCGCATTTGACACAATTCTTGTCATAAGCGAAGATGTCAATGATGACGCATTATTGACATTCAATGTGGACTCATCACTTTTCTTGTCTCCCATTTTTGCTACAAATACTATTTACTAGTTAACAATGCAAAGACCAAAGTAAATCTTTTCTGATGTGAAAGTTGTTATCTTGACTAGCTAAATTTCACCTACAAAGTTGTTATCTTGACTGTTGTACCAATGAAGAATTATCTTTCTAACCATCAAATCTTTACATTAATTCATCTTAAATCTTGTCAAATTTAATAGAAATGCTACATCAGCTTCAGCTAGAACCAACAAGAATTTACTGTGTTAATAGTTTGATAATCAAGCTCTCCAAGAAATCGCTCTTACATGGGAGAAGTAAACACATTGATGTGCAGTATCATTTTTTTGAGATCTTGTCAACAATAAAGTCATAGACACTACAATAAAAATAACTTTTAGCGGCAATAAATAGACACATTAATAAAGAGTGTTAAAGTCTTTACCGGCATTAGTTAAGTGTCATTAGATCCAATGTCGCTAAAGGCTTTAGGGACATATACAAAGAGTGTTAATTGCCGCTAAAAATACATATTTAGTGGCAATTGAGCTATTGCCGTTAATTAATTATTGCTAAAGATCATTTTTTATGTAGTGAGAGTTGATATTTTGCAGAAGTGAAGATCATGTTGCAGATTTATTAACTAAGCTTCTTAAGTTGGGTCCATTTGTGAAGCTGTGCATATTACTCGGTGTCTACTCAGAGAATGATTATAAACTGATATTAATGAATAACATCTGATTTAAGGGAGGTTGTTGAGTGCTTTATTTTAGCATAATAAAAGAACTGATTTTTAGGAGTTCATTAGTTGTGGGTCAGTTGTTGCTTATTTTTAGAAATCAGTTCTATATGTAATCTCTATTTATTTGAAAAAACTTTTATCAATAATATTCAACTAACTTTCTAATATTGTTGTTTACTCAATTTCAACAGAGCCACGACCCTCTCAACTTTCCCAAATCCCCCACCCTGGTTCTTCTCCTTTACGGGGTCAATAATTACTTATTAAAAATGCACTATAAAAAATATGAAAAGTTAGGTACTGAATTTATTAGTAATTTCTATTTAATTGGTCGTTAAAAAGGTCTTAGCTAATTAAATTTTCTGATCCATCGTTAATACATAGTTAAATGGAATTAGCATGGGATTTATGTTGTTTAGCTGCGGAAAAAAATTTGTCGCTAATTTCTTGCAACTCTCTAGCAGTGATGGTACTCCCTTCGACCTAGTTTAAGTGACTTACTTTCTTTTTGGTTTATTCCAAAAAAGAGTACATTTTTCATACATAGTAAGTTTTCCAATTTCAACATCCTACACAACAAGTTTAAGATTATGGGATTTAAAAGACTATACATATCTTTAATTTAAGATCATGAGATTCAAAATTCTCATTTTATTTCTTAAACTCTGTGTTCGATCAACCTCAAAAGCTAGCTCATAAAAAAATATTATCCAAATCATATTAAAGAGACCACTTATCCCTTAAATCATCAATGTGTTACTCTTCAAACACATGCCTAGAGAAGGACGTCTATTTGGTGCACACACTATTTAAATATGGGCCAACATCGGAAAATAAGAATTGGGATCCTGCTCTAGTATTATATTAAAAAATGAATATTAAGCTTAACACAAGCCTAAAAATTAACTTGAAATATCAAAATTATTCAAACCATTTTAAAGAAACCCCAATCATCTTTTTGAGACTAATAGTTAACACTTGTCTAATAATTTTGGCAACAGCCAAAAAGTCAATTGATTCGAAAGATTAGTTGGAGATCATGTACTTATATGCTTAGAATAAGATAATACATATATACCAATCAACGTTACGTGAATGCATATCATACGCCCTCTATTATATGACCCTTTTTTTCTATTTAGTCAGTTTTCAACAAATAATTTCTTAAATTAAAAACTTTTTACTTCAAATTTTCTATTTTACTTCAAATAAAATTCTTTTAAAAACTGAAATTGGTAAAAACCTTACTTGCACTCGATTTTTACACCAAATTTAATAAATACATGACATCTTGATATACACTTATATCCCTAAATCATAATTAATTAATATACATTCTCATCTTAATTTATAGATTAATCCGAGTAAATTAGTATAATTTGGTGTAAATAAATTGAGTAGGAATTAAATTTTACCATATCCTAAGGGTATAAAAGCAAATCTTCTCTGAATTATTAAATTTTATATTCAGTCAAACATTTGTATATAAAAAGCAATAATATACGAGAGAACGGGGGTGGGGGTGGGGGGGGAGGTTGACATACCAGCCTCTGAGGAATGATAGACAACCACTATGGTGGTGGTGGTGGTGGTGGTGATCATCGTGGTGGTGGTGGTAAATATGCTGAGGAGGTGGTGGTGGTGGTGGACAACATTGATCATTATTGAAATAACCTTGATAATTAGGGGGTCCTGGTGGCGGAGGATAGTACCCGCCGCCTGGCGGTGGTGGTGCACCATACCCTATAACAATCAATCATCAATATTAAAAAAAGTCTTAATTTAGCTGGGAAAGAAAAAATCGTAGTAGTAATTGATCATTTAAGTGTTACATGAAGATTATTTAATATACAAAGAAATGAAAGGAATTAATTTAGGAAAATTACCTGGTGGAGGATATGAAGTCATTGGTAGAGAAATACAGATGCAGATCCAGCAAAAAAAGTTAACAATATGTACAGCTGATGATAAGGTGGGGAAAGAAATATAAAGAGTCAACTGTTTAAGAGGGGCAGGAAAGTTCTTATTGGGCACACAAGAGTACATTAAACTATTCATTAACATATCCTATCTACTCACCATGATGACATTGCTAATACTATAGAGGCGGATCCAGGATTTGAACTTCCTGGGTGCCAAGTAGACACATTGCTTAGATCACTAAATCAACCTTAGGTTTCGATTCCGCACAAAATCCATAAAGTATAACTTTTTTTAAAATAATTTTACTAATATTATAAATATATATTATTCATTTATAATAGTTCTCGATGAGTTTACATATTTTAAAAACGATCAATTAGAGTATCATTATTTATATTTTTAAATATATCACTTACTATGTAACAAACTAAACAAATCATTTGAATATTAATCACCTCTTATTTCATATTTAATTTTTTATCTACTTTAGGGAAGAAAATGATATTTCCACAGTTGTGATAGCTACAAGAAAAATATTTACTTAATCAATTTTTAAAAGATTAAGAAATAAACTTTTATTTTATTTTATTAGGAAAAAAGGATTTTATCATATCTAAATAAAATTAAAGATGAAGTTACTATGATATTATTTAAAAACTACATGACATTATTCTATTTAAATTACAAAACGAGATTAAGAAAAATATTACTATTTCCAAAAAAAATTAGTTAAAAGGATTTCAAAAGAAAAGAAACAAGAAAGGGATTCTTTAAAATTAATAGTTTTATTAGAAAAAAAAATAAAAATATTATGTGCATTAGAAAAAGTGTATTTTTGACGCAATAAAGTAACAACAGAGACATTTTTAGGGTCAAACTATTAATAGTAGAGACATTTTTTGAACAAATTATTAACAATAAGGACATTTTTTAATCAAACTATTAATAGATAATATCTTTATTCAGTGTGACATAGTTTAAACCTATTTTTAACATTTCTCCATCAAACAAATAACTAATAACAAATTATAAAAAATCAAAGATTAATAATTAAATTAGTCAACAATAATTACTAATTAAAACTAAGCCAACTAGAATTAAAAAGAAAAAGGAAATATAATCTTCAAAATATGCATTGTTGAAGCTGAATTCCTCATCTATTTGAGGCTGGGAGGTTGTTTTTTCTTAAAAATAAATAAATTGTTTCCCAGACTCAATCTCGCGTCTGGAAGGTGGGGAGTCTCGCCCTTTACCAGTGGCACCACTACACCTTTTGGTTCTGTGGGTGTCATTTGTTTATTTATACACATAGTACATATATACACCTATACATAAATCACGTTTTGACCGAAGCTCGTGGGTGGCGTGGCATCCCCAGGAGCCTTAGTAGATCCGCCCCTGATACTAGTAATCCCTCCCAGACACATTTTGTATTTTGAGATTTAAACTAATTTATCTTAAATCATAATTTTTATTGTGATTTTTAGTAATTTTTTTAACATAGTTTACAAATATATAAATTTCATTTAAAAAAATTGAAGATTTCATGTGCAAATTCCCGATCAAACGTAATCTGTTTGACTCTCGAAAAAACGAAATGCTTCACATAAATTGAGACAGAAAAAGCATTAGTTATGTTTGCATTAGTTAAGCTGAAATTACTTTTTATATAGTGTTTGATTTGATGTATTAAAACTAATATGAATAACATAATCTTTAATTTAATTTAATTTTTATAAAAATACCATCCGCAAAAACGTTTGAAAGAATATGAAAAAAGTTTTGAGGGACAACTCCATCTTAAAGTATACTCATGAGGTATTAAAAACCTCTTGCAATGCTTATATCATGATTTTCCATTTATTAATCATACCTAACATAATATTAAATAGAATATATAATTATTTAATATATAAAGATAGTACATACATCAATTTTTTTAATTACATCCTACCAAACAACTCTTTAATTGCATGTGTTCACATGATTCTTAATTTGAAATGAAATAATGCTTATGCCTCCAACAAATGCCCAAAAGGACAGAGGTGGAGCCACCCCTATAGGTGGTGGGTGCACATGCACTTATTAATTTCAAAAAAAATTATATATATATATATATATATTAAAAAATTGACAGAAATTAAGATATAATTAACAATACACCAATAAAAAATATAAAAATATCATTGTGTTACTAGTACAAGTTAAAATATCCACTCATAAAACCTGAATTTAAATCTAACTAGAATATTTATTTCACTATTCTTATCTAAATTAATATTAATGCACCCAAAAATTTTAAATTCGCAAAAATATAGAATAGACATGGATCACATGAGTTGCAGAGAAGTTGACCTGTCAAAATACAACCAATTATAATGTTGTCGCTAAAGGCGGAGAAAACTAAATAAGCCAACCAATAAAGGAGGGATTAAAAGTCTCTACCACGTTAAACTTGGGACTTCAATGATTTTCAAAAAATTCACACCAATTTTTGTAAGGATTAATTACTTGAGTGAATCTTTTTTTTAAAATAATTACTTATTTTAAACATATTCTTTCATTAAATTTGTATTAATAATGAATTAAATAGGTAATCTAATAGTAATAAATAAATCAAAAAATTGTAAAATGAATTAAATTTGCATTGAAATTGTATTACACAATATTAAAGTTGACTTAGAAGAAAGAATTAAGAATGAATGAATAACATAATTAATGAAAGACAAGACAATGATCTATAAACTGAATTAAACGTATATAATTGTTCCTGAATAAAACATGTACTATATGTGTTATAAATTATTTTGATTTATATCATTAAGAAAGAATTAACGTTTGTAATATGTATTAAAAATGTGTTGTGCGTGTATTGCAAATATATTATAAGTGAATTACCTAAATTATTCTAATTGGTATCACCAAGAAGGGGATATATTTGGAATATGTCTGTATTGTTCATGACTTTTATTCAATTTTAATATTGTTGCAAGACAATTTTGAAATCTTCATCTTCTTCTTCGAGCTTTAATTTGAAATTTCTCCTAAAATCAATGTTAAAACTTAGTCAATCTCCCTTTAAGGAAGTTTTGGTTTTGGTTTTGCTTCTTCTCTGCAACTTGAAGCATCTAAGTTATTTTAGTGTAAATCGTGCAACATGGGTGTAAATCGATTTGAAGATATGAATATTTAAAGATAGTTATTTGGATTAAAAATTTGAAGAAGAAGAAGAAAAGGAGAAATCATATCTAGAGAAAGAGACGGACAAATAGAAAAGATAATGGATCCTTCGGAGTGTTGTACAATTTTAATCCCAAAAAACTGTTAGATTTAGTTAAAAAATATATTGTCCTAAATGGTAAATATTTTATCAATATATAAAAATAGAGAAATTGAATAGCAATATCCTTAAATACTACTATCTATGTTCACTTTTAATTGTTATTGTTTTCGTTTTAGAGTCAAACTATAGAACTTTGACTAACATTTTATGTTGTATTTTTTCATCATATTGATAATATGCAAATTGCAATTTATAGTATTTTTCGTATAGTTTTTGAATATCTAAATTTTTTGTTAAAAATATAAAATTAATATAATCTAATTCAACTTTGAAAATTAGTCAAATTGACTTTCGAAAAGCGCAACATGACAATTAAAAGTGGACGGAAGGAGTAATTTAGTCTAAAAATTCTCCTCCCAGTCAATAATTTGATTAAAAAGATTTCTTTGTTATTATTTAATAGATCAAAAATATCCCTTTTTAGAAAATATAATATTTTTTTTCTTTTTAAACATTCTTTTCTGATAATAATTTTATTCATTAACAAATGTTTATCTTATCTCTCTTTAAGCAAAAGCTTTAGATTTTCAATTCTTAAGTCAATTAAACACGTTGTACTTAGGCCACCAAGACCCGATTCTTATGATCCAATGCACAACTTGATTCTTCTCTTTCTTTTATATTCACTACATTTTATTATTACTGTGAATTATAAGATCAATCTACCTCACGTTGTCCTTAAATCTTTGATAAATTCAACTATATCGTTTTGCGGGTACATAAAAAACTATTTCTAAAAAAAGTGAATAATTCTCATGGTCAAAGGGTTAGTAAGTAATATACACAATTAATGTAATTAATTTTTACACTATCACGCTATTTTTATTTTTTCAAGCAAATATTAATATATTTTATTTTTTAGATATCAAATTCCAAGTTTTAAAAGACTTATCGATATATATTATTTAGGTATAAAAAATAATCTACTTGTGATAAAACTTAAAAATTCGATAGAAATTCACTAGAGTTACTATTTGGTGAATTTATTTTTGATATTAATCTTGATTGCTAAAATTGTCATATCAGAAAAAATCAACAAAGTAACTCTATAATGTTGCAACAATCTTTCAAACCACACACATCTAAATATAAAAACCAAGATTATATTATACTGAATGTAATTTTATTGAATGAATTATTACTTCAATTATAACTTTGAATTTTGTGCAGTTAAAGTAGTTATAGAACATATTGAACTTTTAGAGCTAAAAAAGTAAATCAACAATGAAAAAACTTTAGAACTATTTTGAACCTCATTGGTAATATAAATTCTGAAATAAAAGTTTTAATCACAATTCACGTACTCGTAAGTTGCAAACCGTGGTTAAAACATTGTTTTTACTACGTAGAATATTGCTCCCTCCACTTCATTTTAATTTTTTACATTATTAAAAGTAGTTATTTCAAATTACTTATTAATTTATAAAATCACGAGAACTAGTTAATATTTTTTTTTTCCTTTTAATCGTATAATTAATTTTTTTTGAAAGTGTACAATCAAATTTATAAAGTTTTAATTTTTTGTTAAGAAGTAAATTAGTAAAATTATTATATATATATGATTTCTAGAGAGAGATTAAAGGAGAAAGTGGACAAACTAATAGGAAATGGAGGAATAGAATTTACATAGCTCACACTACTAGCCTACTCATATAGAGAGAATAATAATTAGTTAAATAATATTTGTTTGATAATTAAATCAACAACCGACCTTAGCTCAGTTGGTAGAGC